GCCGCGGGGGGGGGGAGTGAGTGAGCGGCTGCGTGGTATTTGGCTGCCGGCCAGGTTAAACCATGACACCACTGCCAGCCTACTCGCTGAGGGGAAGCAGAGTGGGAAGCAGAGAAAGCCTTGATGCTGTGCAAGCACCCTTCAGCAACAGCCGAAACACTGGTGTGTTATCAGCACTGTTTCAGCCAGAAATCTAAAACACAGCACCATACGGGCTGCTATGAAGAAAGTTAACTCCATCCCAGCCAGACCCAGTGCACTTCCCAAAGGAATAGGTATTTTAAGCTCATGGAAAGTTCCCTTTCCACAAAAGTGTTTCTCTGACGAAGACTGCATTGTAATGTGGTTGATTTCAGCTATAAGACCAGTGCTACCAGTCAGATCAGGGCTTTATCGAGCTGTTTTCTACCCAGTAATCATAAAATGTGGTTTAGCTTCTTCCTAACCCTTCAGGTTTTTCTCCTCTGTTTAGACATGGGAGAGAGCTCTCTGTATCTATGTATTAGCTCTTTGCCCCAATGCCACTGCAAAACTGTTGATGATCTTCCTGCATTGGCTTGTTTCTGTCACGAATGCTTTTCTCCTTTCAAGAAACCTGACATAAGAAGCATATTTAGATGTCTCTGAGGATCATTTTTCAGTGTAATACATCCTGGCAAACCTCTGTAGGTGTCTCTGAAACTTCACCCTTAAGCCTTTGCTTTACTATTCTGTATTCCTTTAATCACTGCAAGTTTTTAAGAGTATGCTATTCTTGGTTGAGGTTTTTCATAAATATCATACAGCCATGTATAATTGTTTATGTATATTTCTTTTTAAGACGCCAGTGATCAAAGAGAAGACATTTACATTGGAAACCACATACCTTGCTCAGAAAGCTTCAATGGCTACTGTATACATGGAAAATGTGAATTCATTTATTCCACTCAGAAGGCTTCCTGCCGGTAAGTCCTGCATGCCTTCAAAATGTGCTTGAAATTGCTGTAAAGCTTAATCGAAATGCTCTCTAGACATAATTACAGCATGTATCAGTTTGCAGTTATCTAAGTGACGGCACAGGAGCCTGTGCTGTGGGCAGCACCCAGCTGCTCCAGTCGTGCGGGAGATAGTTCTCAGAGGAGAGGCTCGGTCAGACACGTAGTTCAGAAGCTAAGTCCCTCTGAAGACTGTGGCCTCACTGTTGTCTCCTTATTTTCAGCTGCTAAATCCTATCTAGAGGAAAAAAATCCACAAAAAACCTGCCTTTGCCTTCTCTGTATGACTCTCTTTCCCCATTGACCTCTCAGTCTGTTCTTATGCTATCTACACATTTTATTGCTCTTGTCATAAACTCTCTCTAGAGTACCAATATCTTATTTTTAACATTTATTGCCCTTTTTCACAGTAATAGGCTTCATCTAGAGAGTATAAAATTGCAAAATATTCTTTAGCCTACATTTTTTGTCTACAGGATAATCTAGCAGCTCAGTAGACTCAGTATTAAGCCACTCAGTGTTTCCCAGGAAATCTGAATGTTCCATTTTATTTCCCTAGCTCCCAGATAATTTTTTCTTTACATTTCACCAACTAAATTCTGTCCCTTTGTTTTCTTTAAAAAATAAAATTAATTTAAAAAGTTGTTTATAGAAAAAGGCCACTTCTTCTTAATAACATGGAGTGCCCTACTTATTAGGAGGTTTCACTCCTGAACTTTTATCTTGTAGGCTTGTACTTTCGGATTAAGGTGGTTGAAGATGCTATAACTCTCTGCTTTCCTTTGCTTTGGAAACTTCAGCTGTAAGTCCATTAGATACTATCACATTTTCTCCCTTGATCTTTATCGATCGAGGATATTTAGGGGTTTTTCCACTGCCAAGATTTAAGGGTTTCCAGACAGACCAGGGAGCAGAAAGCCCAAAAGCCCAACCAAAAAGTATGGTTGTCAACTTAAGCATTTGAAAGCTTATGTTATTCCTTTTCCCATCTAAGACCCTTTCTTGTTTATTTTCAGCTTTCCAATAGGACTTGTTTGTTTTTCTCTTTTCTTTGGCTAGAACCAAGAGAGCTCAACATGGCTTTGCTTCTCTTGGAAAACTGGGTGCATCCCCAACATCATCTTGATGGGCATTAGGCAGCACTATCTGATTACGGTATTCTTTTGATCTAGAGCTGCGTTCAACACAATTTCTGATGGATTTGTCCTCAAAATATTCAAAGTAGAGGTATTTCAAGGAAAACATTCCTGGCTGAATGAACTGATTTTTTTATTTCTCAGAATTTTCTTCTGGATGGCGCTAATCATATAGTAATTTATTTATGATTCAATTACTGTTCAATCATTTAAATATTTATTATTACTCTAATAATTACTGGTAGGCAATGTTTTGGTGAATTTTATTAATGTACTGTCCCTTTAAATTCTATTTTAGAATTACTTTTACTATTGCTGCCTTAAATTATTTATTTAAACAGCCTGAACAATATCTCAGCACTGGACCTAGCACAACAAACCTCACATGGTTCCAGTCAAGAATTTCTGACTCTCAGTTCTTAACCCTAAGTATCAGATCTCCTTTGGATTTTTCTTGGCTGTTTAAATACTGATAGTCTTGTACTTTATGCGTGTTTCCTACTGGAGCAGAGTTATTAAGGAAACGAATGATATCAGACAGCGATCTTCTACCAAAGAAAAAAATTCTCTCTTTCTCTGGCAAGGAAAATATAATGATGAATGCTAGGGGCAGATTGTTATTTTCTAATGCTTTGCATTCTCATACACATCTAGCATATACATTGTTTAATTTGGTCCTCATTTCCTGGTAGTGATATATGTGAGGTATCAAATGACCTACAAAACTGCAGAAAATACCTGCGCAGAGCAAATTCTGACTTTCGCTTTCACTCGGGGCAATGAATCTCCTTGCTTATTGTACAGCAGCCCTCCAGGACTGCCAGCAGGCAGGTGGGAGGAAAGTTTTGTCGTAGTCAATTGCATAATATTTAGTTTAGCGGCCTTTGCACAGCTGGGATCTGCACAATCTCCTGCTGCCCACCTTGTGCAGTGCAATTGTGCCCTGTCCTTGTGGCAGGCTGCATCAAGGAGGCACAGTTCAACCCTTTGCAAAGAAATCTAAACTTCTTTACACTAGTTCAATTAATTGATTGATCAGCATATTTTGATAAATCCATGCTGACCTCTATTTATCTTGCTATTATATTAATGCTATATTATCTTGCTATATATTAATGCAGCACAATGCTGTAAAATCTGTTCTACTAGTTTAAAGTAGCTTAAATTAGTGCCTAGTACTTCATCCCACCACCAATATAGTTCTTAACACAAGCACTTCTTCTTTGCAGGAATTCAATACTCCTGAATCTCCATTCAGTATTTCTCAGAAATAACTTCCTGTCACTTCAGAGTTTCTGAGGAAACATCTTTGAATTACTTGTTTTGTTTTGAATTGTTTTGCTTCCTCTGCTTTAAAGCAATTCTCACATTGATCACACTTTGACTGTTATCTTCTTTAGTGAAAACAAAAGCAAAGTAACAAATAAGAATTCAGTCCTCTTCACTAGCAAGGAGCCCTCTTTGTAATTGTTTCTTTTTGCATGACTACCAACATGTTCCCCATGCTCTTCCTTCTTGTATGCTAATACATGTTTCTCTTGATTCCCTTCCTAGCCATTATTGAACTTACTTACAGTACATGGGGACTTTTCTTTAACAACTCTGCTTTTACTGGAACTTGTTTCATGCCTGAACCAAAACTCCTTACACAGCAGCTCACGGCTGGAGAAAGTAGAGTCACAAGATTATGAACATGTAAACCCCAACTGTTATCCCTGCATGCAAAGGCGGATTAGGAGTTGCATTAGCAGTTGTAGGAAGGTCTGGAGTAATTATTTCATTCCTCCAAACAGAATTAATTCCTACCCTAGCACAAAGCTTTTGGATGGATGAGACTGACCCTGTGTTGCATTCAGGCTTATCTGATCCAGTTTTCAAAAGGATTGTTTCTCTGCCTGTGTGTGAGTAATTCTTCTCCAGCTTTCTACTATAGCACTGGAGGCCAATTGTGTGATTCAGTTGCCCTTAATGATGCATTCACATCACTTGGTTTTAAAGGATAGCTGTACAAGAAACTTGCTTAGGGATGCAAGTGGTGGCCTTTGATTCTGCAGACTCCAGCTCAGTGTCTTGGGTGGCTCTTGCCTTTCCTTGTTGTGCTTCAGCCTCTCTTGCCTTGCAACATGAATTCCTCCAGACCATGTTTCCATTGCCACCTTCACCACTGGCCCGTCTCGCATTCCCTGAACATGTGTCGCTGGTCAGGAGCAGCCCCTGCTGAGTTTCTCATTGAGCTAACTGCTGCTTTGCTCAGGCAAGGTACCATTTAGAGCAGCCGCTTCTCGGCTGTCTCCAGCCCTTTCTCCCCAACCCCTGGCCGATTTTTATGGATTCTTCCATGAACTCTCACTTGAAGAGTTGTGGGCCATTGGGTTTTCTAACCCGACCTCTGTCAAGTTTTGGTTTGGTGACAAGGCAGGAGGGGGTTTGATGCTGGTCTTATCCAATAGGTTTTGCAGGATTCCACTTCTGTAGGCTGCAGCTTGAAAAGGGATCTTCTTTTCCCCCATTTTTCAAAGTTTCTTTTCTTCTTTGTCACTCCTCTCCCATATTGACATTGCAGCTGAATGAGCATGCTCACTTTGTTTTTCATGAGCATGCTGCTTTGTGTTTCATTTAGCCTTGTCTACTTGTTTCACCTAGTTGCTTTATTCTTCCTAAATATTGCCCCAATTTAATAATGACCCCACATATTTCTTTTGCTAAATCAGGGCCTTCACCACGCTGGTGTGTTTTCAGAGGGCCACTAGTAACCTTATCCAGCGAAGAGAAGATATCTGCTCTATCTCTTCTCTTGCCACAAAAAAGCAAACCATTCCCCAACCCAAGCGTTACCACACCTCTGCCTTCTCACCAGTTCTTTCTCAGCTGGAGTTACCCTGGACTCCTTATTTCATCTGCAAAATGTCTGGGCAAAGATGTCAAATTACAGATTCCATGAAATATTCCTTTTCTTTTTCAGGTGTGAATCAGGATATACTGGACAGCACTGTGAAAAGACAGACTTTAGTATTCTTTATGTTGTCCCAAGTAGACAAAAGCTTACGCATGTCCTTATTGCAGCAATAATTGGAGCTGTACAGATTGCCATTATAGTTGCAATTGTCATGTGCATAACAAGGTAGGTAAAGCCAAAAACAGTGAAAAATTATACATTGTATGGATATACTTTTCCTGTATTTATTTATTTGACCCCCAAAATTTTATGGGCTTTAACATATATCCTAAAATACCCACATAAAAAATACCTAATGACTGAAGCGGAAGGATTATGTAACGTCCTATCGCCTTTTTTTTTTTTGGTCACAAAACATGCATTTGTTTAAATTCACGAACCACCAGTAACTGCTCTGAATCTCCAGACCAAATACCCAGCAGAACAGATCAGCCTTAAAACACATCCAAAAGGTCAGCTACTGTGTTAGACCTTCACTGGAGTTATTCAAGCATTGCTGATATCTTATAGAAGCTATGATCCCCCGTCCTGCCCAGTGAAACCAGAGAGGTTGACAAGATGTTCCCTGCAGTACCACAGTAAATGGTGTTACACAGAGAGAGAAGTATCCCACACACCGTACATGCTTTCTGAAAATTAATGTGCGGCTAGTCCCATTATTAGGCACTCTCCATGGGAACCTATTTTATGAAATGTGGAGACGCACAAGCACAGAGTTCAAGTTTCTGGGTGGTCTCAGACTCTCACCCTGTATGAAAACTGAGCTGAGAGGCATGGATTCTTTATGATGACAAGGGATTCATTTTGCTCATCAAGGACTTGAACCCAATGAGCACTGAGGGCTCTGGGATAGATTAAATGAAGCATTTAAGTCCTACACTTGGGCATCCATGCCACGCTTTGCCTTTTCCTCCTCAACTCGTCCTTCACTTTTTCAGCTCCAGTTGCATCGGGCCATAAAACGTTCTGCTACTGCGTTAGCGCATGGCTTCCCAAACTCAGTGATGTAGAGTGACATCCCTATGAACGAACAATATAGGCCTTCTTCCCTATCTCTCTTGTAAGGTTCAACATAGCAGGTATAAGGACACCTAACACTAAGAGAGTTATTTGGCTCATGCAATTTTATGTCATCCCTTTTTTACTCAACACCCTGCTGGCCAAAGCAGTGGCGTGGCAGGCAGTGGGTCAGCAGCACTCCTCCTTCAGCCTCCCCACAACCGTTCCCCAGCTCACAGTCTCCTGGGGACAGTCTGTCTTGCTGCATCCCAGCAGGACTGCTCCATCGTGCGTTGCCTGCTGTCTGATGGGCTGAGTAAGCCCCGTCGCCTTCAGAATTGCTGGCTTTTGTGAACCCTTTCTTAGTTGTATGTCCATCCCCAAGAAAGGGATCGCCTGAGTCACCCCACAGAGAGTCCTGGGTGGGCTCTGTCTCAGGGGCTGCTGCAAGCAGCCGGGCACCTGGAGGTCCAGCACTTCAAAAGGCTGATTGATCCAGTCTTACCATCCACTGGATTTTAAGTATGAAATATGTATAAAGTAAAGCCAATGCAATTATTCACCATGGTACGTGTTTTGCTGGATCAAGGCTGAAGGATGTAGCACCTTGCTGGTTTCAGTCTCAAGTTCAAGCAGAGCTCCCTTCTGAGTGACCTGGGGTCCCTCGGACATCCCCAGGCGACAGTCCGGTACCAAACAGCAGGAGCGTCCCCCCAGTCAGCACAGCTCATAGACTCCTTGCTATTGTTAAGTACAGAAAATTAAGTCAGTATGTTATTGCTACGCTTAATTTATGCGGCATATATAAAATCAGCCCTCCTTTTTCTTTCTCTCTCTCTTTTTTTAACAGAAAATGCCCCAAAAACAATAGAGGACGTCGGCAGAAGCAAAACCTAGGCCATTTTACTTCAGATACGTCATCCAGAATGGTTTAACTTAGTGATTTTTATACCTACATTGACCATGTGGTGTACATTTTTATTATATCTTTTTTTAAAAAATGGAAATATTTATTTCAGAGGCCTTATTTTTGAACATTTTTAGTGTAACAATGTTGGTCTGTATTCTGAAAGCATCAGCTCTAACAGCTATGGACTGTTTTAGTACCTTTACTTTTACGTTTTTGAATACAGTAGTTCATTTTCTGTATCTGTATCACATGGTTATATAATAGACTTGTGCTTTATCCATGGAATGTAATATTTTTGGGAACACAGATTTATTCCACCAATGGTTGTAGATTTAAAAAAAAAACAACAAACCAACAAAAAAGCCCACATTACCTAGCAAACAAGGCATGAACTAAAGGTAAAAATGTTTACAGCTTACTTTTCTTATGAGAAACTAGAAAACACTGTGTTTAAATACCGTAGATATTTAAATGTTTTTGGAAGTTAGTAACTGATTTTTTAGACACTGCCTATCGCATGAACTGTGAAGCTGTGTGCTGTGTGTAGTTGTAACATATTTATAAAACGTGTGGGCTGGGTCTAAGCACTGCCATCTTCATAAATAATTCCAACAATTTATTTTTAAAGAGGAAAATTATAAATTTCGTAATTTGGGAAGTTACCTGGTAGAGCAGATGGCACAGGTCCAAAAGAAGTAGATCTTAGTAGATTTAGGTATTGTAAAAATTGGTGTTGAAAAATTGAACACAAATAATTGGAATAAAGCCTACTTTATCACTGTTAAAGCTGTTTTAATACTTCTTAAACTTTTTTAAAGAAAATACATGTTTTAACACCTACAATACAGATTGTATAGTGTTTGTGATTAAAATAAAAACAAATAATAAAAGTGAATGAATTACTAGTGCTCTTGTATAGAGTATTTTCAAGAGCTAAGGAAGTCCATCCAAATTAGTCTGCTGGTCATAGTTATATTAATAGACTGTTAGTTGTCGTTTGAAAGATCCCAAGATAAAGTGTGAATAGGGTGTGTTCAGCTGTTTTAACATGTAGTTTAGGCTTTCAAAATTTTGCATGTAGGATTTAATAATTTGTTCAATAAAAAAAAATGCTTTCAACATTTTGAACTGGAAAAGCATGTCACAATACAACGTTTTCACTATATTGCCTCTGGCTTAGCGTGTTTATTTGTTACCCCATGTGGTAATTGCAGCAGGCTGAAGACCTGAAGTTGTTTTGCTGGAAAAAAACAACCGTGTTAATTTTCCTGACTGCTCTTTGAATTCCCTTGGAGGAAAGCACTCCAGTAACACGAAAACAAAAGTAGATCATTAAAAATATGCAAGTTTGCTTTCCTGCTTAATTAGTAAGTTACTTAACTTTCCTGGATTAACACTAATAACTTCACCAGTACAGAAGCGTGACCCTTTAAACGTATGTTCCTTTCCAGACATTGCTTCCTAATTTTAGGGGTTTCATGTTGCTGAAAGTATCCAAACAATCATGTGTGGATATTTTGTAGTCAGAAGTATTTGACCAAGCTCCAGGAGCGGCGTTTCACGCCCTACTTTGAGCATCGCCGGAGCCAGCTGTCGCCCTGGCTCCCTGCAGCAGCGCCAGAATCGTTCTGGCAGGATCACCGAAACTTCGCCTCCCGCCGACCCGGCCGAAGGCAGGCAAAATGGATCGCCGTGAAATCTCCTCGGAGGCTGACAAAACCCACCAAAATCGTCTCTCCAGCGTCACCGAGGAGGAAGAAGAACAAGATGCAGCTTACACGATTGTGACGGTCCTGGACAAAGTGGCCAACATTGTGGACAGCGTGCAGGCGAGCCAGAAAAGGATAGAGGAGAGGCACAGGGAGATGGAAAATGCCATCAAGACCATACAGATTGACATTTTAAAGCTTGCCCAGGCTCACGGCAATACAGGCTACACGGTGAACAAGTTACTGGAGAAAACCCGCAAAGTCAGCTCCACCGTGAAGGAGGTGCGGGCACGCGTGGAGAGGCAGAGCGCCAGCGTGCGGAAGGTGGAAGCCAAACAAGAGGACATGCTGAGGAAAAACAAATTCCGGGTCGTAATCTATCAGGTAACCGCGAGCCTAATTTCTTGTAGCGCTGTCATTGTGCCACCTTCTTGGTAGCCGCTGGTAGGCATTGGTTAATGCACCAAAAAGACGCAGTCTATCCAACATGAGAGCTATTTTATGCTTTCTTTAACATTGAGTTGTGCTCCTCAGTGCCTTTCAGCATGAACCTACTGACGGCAGCACACGCGGTCTATTATTAGTGTTGGTAGGTTTCTGAGCCAGTCGTGTAAGATTAACTGCAGATCAGCAAGGATTATTTGTTACCTCTCCGAAAGGTAATATGAGGCAGGCTCTGTAAATCTTGTCATACAAACCATGCCTGACATTCATCCCTGTGATTTTTTTCACCGTATTAAGTAGAAGTCCAAATAGCAAAAGTGTTTGCAGGCTCCCTGGAACACAGACTTTCTTCTAACACTAATTTCAAAACATATGGTTGATTTAGCTTGCAGCGTTACCCAGGCTTTCGTGCTGCTGACAAATTGGGGCTTTTTTCATTGTCTCAGTCTGTAGCAGTATATGCACAAACTAAAGCTCAGACCCAGAAACCCTTCGTGACAGCAGACAGTACCTTGCATGCTCTACTTTGGAAATGGTTTAACCTGGCACTGTTCTTCCAAACATATTGGGCAAGCAAATCATACGTTTTCGTTCATTGACCTCATTGTAGGATGTTCATTGTTCTTATAAATCATTGGATTTGAACAGAAGTTTCATGAAATGGCATGGTCTCACCTACACTCACACAAGTAGACAGTGCAGGCAGTTCATGGGGTCTGTCACTTGCTAGCGAGTGCTGTGAAACCCATTTGTTTAATGGCCTGATCCTGCCATTTGCTGAAACTTCCCAGTTCCCCAAGCCAATAGAAAGTAAGTGTTTAATCTTTTGCCAGAAGCATAGTTTCTCCTTCATACCAGTGAGTCCCCAAAGCTTCTTTCAAATGAGTCGCATTCATCATTAGGCGTTCTTGAAGATACCAGCCCTCGTGAGTAACACAATGCGCCCCCATCGCCCAGCCTTACGCCCTGGTCTTGCATCTGTTCGTACATAAATAACATTACTTGCAATGAATGGAACCCTGTGTTTCACTGAGTCTATTCACCACTGTATATAGCTGACAAATTCTTATGCATAATCTAGCTTTCTTAACTACTTCATTTTCTACTACTGGGAAGAAATGGCTAAAGAAAAAATAATAAAAGATGAAGGTAAGAAATATTACCTCTTTAACGTAATGTTAGTACCATATGCAGCCTACCAAATTGTGCCTCCCAGATTTTCTGACTGAATGACTTACTATGGATGTTCAGGTGAAAGCATGGCACAATTTGGCCTATTATTACAATTATTGCAAGCTGCACCATCAAGACGGAACAGAAAAGAGGCACTTTTGCTTTTTCCTTGCAAATAATTTCCCAGCTAAAAGTAATAAATATCTCTGATTTGGTTAATGCCATAATGCCATTTCATTGATGGGCCTTTACCATAATGTTTGCAGCAGAATCAATGCTTTGAAAATGTTTGTTCTTAAAACAGTATTCATTACATAATGTAAATTTTTCTCCTAGCAAGACATGAGTTATCACTTATTTAAAAATATAGCACAATATTGTGGAAATTGATTTACACACAGCTATAAAGAACAGCTGTTGCTATTTTCAGATATTTCATACAAAAGGTGTCTCTCACGATGCGTACTTTCTCTAAGAATCACCTTCAGTAGGAGTTTCTGAACTCTCTGCTGGTTTTGCCGGACAAGAATGACCTGCACCCTGTTCTGTATGTTTAATTCTTAGGCAGTACTTTTCAGGAGGGGAAGCCACTTTTCATTGGTGTCTTTCTAGCTTCCTCTTCCTATGGTAGTTGAGAACTGCCAGCCTTTTGTAAGGTAGATGGAAGAACCTTTTCCCTCATGCACAGAAGAGGAGCAGATATGCTGATCCTCTAGGATCCGACATTTAACACTTTTCTGGAGGAGGAGAACTGCATTGCTCCACAAAAACTGGAACATGCTAGGTAGCCAAGAGTGTGCTGAAGCTTTAAGGCACAGGTACACTCGTGAAAGTCTCTTTCCCACAAGTGCAGTGATTTTCACACTGTTGATTTACACCAGTGTAGGCATACTGCTGGAGTGCCAAGACCTGAATGACTGAAGCTTGGCTATGATGAGTGGGAGTCTGTTAATAGCTACAGAATCAGCATACTCCCTTCACTATATTTTACAAATAGGTATAACCAAGTTGTTTACTTGGTGGTTGTGAGTGACAGCTCATCTGTAGTGAGATTTTTTTCTGATGAGCCATTTGGGACATTGTGATGGAGCCAATGACCTGTGTATAGCCAGCGTTGAATGCCTACGTGGGTGAGCACACGTGGGTTTTAGTTTTAACTTTTGCCAGAACATCGGCATATGAGGAAAAGGGAAACACCAATTAAATCCTAAAGATTTTCTTTCAAGCAGATAGCTTTGATCTTATCATTGATAGAAGGAGTAGGCAGATTGAAAAGGATCATTGGCTGGAAGAGATTGTCCCAAGTGAGCTCAGCCATGAGAGTTGGCAATATCCTCGCATTAAAAAGAGACAAAGTGATCATCCATGAGCATAATGATTAGGGAAATTGAGAGCATTCATTTTTAAAAGGCCAGGTTGAGAAAAAGATTTGGTAGCAGGCAGCTCTCCTCCCCAGGCTGATTGCCTGATTAAAAATGCCAGGTTACTTTGAGGTTTTTGACCCTGGAGTGCTATGCGCCTAAGGGTATAGCAGGGAATGCAAAGTACATTATAGGTTGTGCAGGTCACTGTTCACTTCTGTTCAGGTTAGTCTGAATAACCAGCTGTGAGAGCTATCATTTCTCTGCAGTCAAAGAGCATCTAACAATTTAACTCATTCTGGCTAAATTATTCAGAAATTAAAGGGGATTTTTATTTTTTTTTTTTTTTAATCCTGAAAGAACTTGTTTCGTTTGCTTTTCTGCGTGTTCTGCAAGTCCCTCTTTGAACGTGAGCGTACAGGCACCAGAAAGTCCATGTTACAGTTACTGGGCTCTGTTCTATTATTATTTTATGTAAGCACCATAAACGAGTAACAATTTCCTGGGAAGGGACCATGCATTTGTTTCACTCACTGCTGTCTGATGTTTAAAATTAGTGGACAGTCACAGTGGACATGTCAGAAACCAAGTAAGGTTATGGCTTGACTGGCCTACACAGACATGTTACAACCGATTTGTTCGCCCTGCGATTGCTCCACCGCACACACGGGGAGAGGCTAGCAGAAGCAGCCTTGCGTATGCAGCTCATATTATGCACAAATAAATTAAAATGTAAGTGGCTTTTCCTGGCCACTGTCCTTCTGCAGCACAATGGCTTGGACAGTAAAAATGGTGAGATCGAGATGGGGACAATAATCCGAAAATCTGAAATGGAAGCACTTCCATCCGAAGCAGCAGTAAAAGTCAGGGTGTCACGAGCTCAAGAGACAAAGTTGCAAACACGGCCTCCGAAAGACCTGGTGCACGATCTCACCATCCGCCAGCACGGAGTTTTAATTACAGCTATTCTGAGAAAAACCTGTGAGAGTAAATGTGATTGTGAAAGGCTGCAAATATAACACTTCTGTTTTAAAAAAGACAAAGGAAACAATCTGAACCATTGCCATTCATCTGATATCATTTGGGCATAAGAATGGCAGGCTCAGAAGGGGTTCTGCAGAACAGAATTGTTAGTACCATGGAGTTAAAGAGCTCACCAAGAGCAGATTGTGCTAGGTAACTTCATATTTGATCATTTTTCTGTTTCACAGAAACATGAGGGGTCTTATCCTTTCTCATGTTTATGTACCTGATATCTTGCCTCGTAACAGATAATCTGGAAAACCAACAGATGACAGGGGATTGTGTTGAAATGGGAATTGAAGCTTGTGATGGGTTTCTAAAAGGGTTTGCTCCTAAGACTGTCTTTCTCAACTGTTTAATATTTTCATTAAAGATCTTGGCAGAGAAAAAGGTGTGGATACTAAAAAAGTATGCTCAAAATAAGGAGCTGTCAGTCCAGAGAAAGAAATATAGACAAGAAACCATCTTTAGAGCTGGAGTAATGCTAATCTAAGTGTACACAGTGTCAAGTCTTGTACTTAGCAGAAGCCCTTGTTGTTAGTTTGTCTTCTGAGGCCCCATGGTTTGGAAAGGACAGAAAATGGTGTGTTAATTGCTCACAAGATGATCGAGAGCCCATTTGATGTTTTGGCTCTTAAAAAAAGTGATAACGTGGGCATGAAATGCTTCAGGCAAGGTATTTCCAGAAGTGATAGAGAGACTGCCAGTACCCTTGTCCAAAACACTTCAGAGCCTGCCTGGACTACCACATACAGCTCAGATCACCCCTGTTGAAGTAGGTTGTGTTCAAACTGGTTTGGAAAACAGCTGCCAGGCCGATCAGAGCAATGGGAAGCCCTGGTAAATGAGAGGAGACAAGGAGGTCCTAGCTTGGTTTAGTCCAGCAAGAAACGAGGCTAAGAGACGTTGTGGCTGTCATTTATACATACATTGGGGCAGGATGAGGAGTCCAGTAAAGAACATCATCAAAAAGATGAAACGGGCGTAAACTGTCCATGAGTCAACTAAGGTCAGAAACCAGAAACGGATTCTTAGTCCTGGAGTCATGAGGGTCTGGACAAAGTCTTCTGCTAGAACCCACAGGGAGAGAGGAAAACCTAAATTGCTTTAAAGTGGAGTCTGAAAACTTAATGAAAAAAAGATGGCGTAGGTTGACTACCTGTGACAGCAGAGCACTGGCCTCAGACACAGAGGCCTCAGCAGCCCAATGACACAGGGCCTTTGTTGGAGTCTTGTGGCATAAACCTTATAAATATTTTTACCTTTGCTGAGATTACAGAGAATAAAAGAAACCCAACGCTTGTGTCAGAGAGTGTAGCAAGAGTCCTTTGTCTGCACCTTCAGCTCGAAGCGCTGAGCTGGCCCCGTGCTGTGCAGCCAGCCACGGGCAGAGTGGCAGAGCCAGCGCTGAACTGCCGGAGGCAGCCAGGAAAATCA